AAATAAAATCAGAAATGAAAGAAATTACAGCTGAAATCACAGAAATACAAAGGATCATAAGAGATTACTACAAACAACTATACACTAATAAATTGCTCCCTTCCCCGGGCAGGTTGGAAAACCTAGAAGAAACGGGATAAATTCCTAGAAACAAGCAACCATCCAAGACTGAGTCATGAAGAAATAGAAAATCTGAGTAGACTCATTATAAGTAATGATATTGAATCAGTTATTTTAAAACTCCCAAAAGACAAAATTCCAGGACCAGACAGCTTCACAGGTGAATTCTACCAAACATTTAAAGAAGAACTAATGGGGCGCCTGGGTGGCTCAGTTGATTAAGCGACCAACTCTTGATTTCAGCTCAGGTCATGATGTCAGGGTCGTGAGATCAAGCCCTGCATTGGGCTCCATGCTGGGTGCAGAGCCTGCTTAATATTCTCTCTCTCCCTCTCCCTCTGCCCCTTCCCCATTCACTCTCTGGAAATAAATAAATAAATAAATAAGAGTTAATGACTATCCTCAAATTATTCCAAAAAATTGAAGAGGAAGGAATGCTTTCAAACATATTTGTGAGGCCACCAAAATCAGATAAGGACACCACACACACATAAAAAACTATAGGCCAAAATCCCTGATGAACATACATGCAGAAGTCCTCAACAAAATATTCATAAACCAAAGTCATATGATCATCTCAATAGATGCAGAAAAGCATCTGACAAAACTAAACATCCATTTATGATAAAAACTCTCAACAGAGTGGGTATAGAAGGAATGTACCTCAAAATAATAGGGGCCATATATAACAAACCCACAGCTAACATTATACTCAATGGTGAAAAAAGGATGAAAGCTTTTTCTCTAAGATCAGGAACACGACAAGGATGCTACTCTGACCACTTTTATTCAACATATCACTGGAGGTCCTAACCATAGCAATCAGACAAGAAAAAAAGCATCCAAATTGGTAAGGAAGAAATAAAACTGTCACTATTTGCAGATGACATAGTACTATATTTAGAAAACCCTAAAGACTCCACCAAAAAACTATTAGAACTAATAAATGAATTTAGTAAAGTCACAGGATACAAAATTACCATACAGAAATGGTTTACATTTCTATACACTAATCATGAAGCATCAGAAGGCGAAATTAAGAAAACATTGGGAGAGGGAGAAGCAGGCTTCCCACGAAGTAGGGAGTCCAGTGCAGGCTCGATCCCAGGACCCCGGGATCATGACCTGAGCTGAAGGCAGACACTTAACAACTGAGCCACCCACCAAAATACCAATGGCATCTTTCACAGATTAGAACAAAGAAATCTAAATTTTGTATGGAACCACAAAAGATCCCAAATAGCCAAAGCAGTCTTGAGAAAGAACAAAGGTGGAGGTAACACATGCCCTGATTTCAAATATTACTACAAGGCTATCATAATCAAAACAGTATGGTATTGGCACAAAACAGACATAGAGATCAATGGAATAGAGCGTCCAGAAATAAATCCATACATATATGGTTAATCTATAAGAATGGAGGCAAGAATATACAATGGGGAAAAGACACTTAATAAATGGTGCTGGGAAAACTGGACCACTATCTTTACAAAAGTAAATTCAAAATGGATTAAAGACTTGAATATAAGACCTAAAAGCATAAAACTCCTAGAAGAAAAAACATAGGCAGTAAGCTCTTCAACATCAATCTTAGCAATATTTTTTTGAACCAGTCTCCTCAAACAAGGGCAACAAAAGCTAAAATAAAATAAATTGATTACATCAAACTAAAAAG